AATCGGGCCAATCTTGATTTCCTTTTTTAGTCCCTAAATTCAAAACGGGACGGATTCCTGACGGACCCCATCACTGGTTAAGCTAGTCTCCTTCCAAATTAATGTGGGTGATTGTCGTTCCCGGTCTGGTCCCGGCTTTATTTTTTGTTATGGTCGTTGTCAAGAGTACCACTCTCCCTAGATTCTTATCCCCTTTTTTATTTTGACTGGATCAGCCTTGTATATTTCTCCACTCCTAAATTTATATTTTTTCTCCCTCTCCTTAAGCGAGCGAGCTTCTTGATTCTGCTTATCAGGAGAATACAGCGGTTTTGTGGGTTGGACGGGTCAGACTAACAGTTTTATTTTGTTTGGAGTTTTTAATTTCTTTTTATTTTATTGTTGGGCTCACCCTCCCCGCCACTTCATATCATGCGACAATTTTTAGATATATTTTTGTGTTAAAAAAATTGTACATACGGAAAAGTTTTTAGCATCATTGGGGTTTTATTATGACCCCTGTGGAAATGTGGTTTAGATGGAGAAGGATGGGTTCTTGCGGTGAGTGAGGAAATTGTTAGAGTGAATGGGTCGCGAGTCGGATTAGCTAGGTGTGGGGTAATCTGTGAAGACCAGCCTTTCCCGACGTCTCTTTCGGCTTTGTACTAAATGCAAATGTAAATTTGTAAAATAAACTTCGAAAGGTAGTTGTGCATTGCGAGATTTATGTGCAGATTTTTACCCCTCCCCTTATTTAGGCCCTTCGACATCTTTTACTTTGGAATTGCAGGACTGATTTATATTCTTTGGAACTACGGCCCCCATATTTTTTTTTATCTTTGGATTTGAATCTCCCATTGCTATTCTTTCACAGAACATTTAATGTTAAAAGACTTGCGCAAAAAATAAAAACAGAAATTATTGGCGCGGACGTTGTAACATTGTATGTTATTGTATATAGGAAACCCAAATCAAAGGACTTGATATTAATATCGGAGTTAGTAAATATTCATGGAAATGGGTTTGTCATCAATGGCAAATGGAAGAATAACAACCATAAACATTGGACGAACAACCATTGTATACAGATCAAACAATGACATTAAAAGAACTATCAATAATATTCTATCATTCCCGTAACAGAAGACCTTTCGTGAGTTAGCAAAGAGCAGAGATGTTCGGAAAGGACTATAAGAGATATTTACAGATTTTCTCTTATAGTCCTTTGAGAAATCACACTGGTTTGCTGTGTTCTTTTTTAAGCTGAAACAGCGATTATGATTCTTAAGTATTTACTTTATTAATCACAGTTCAGAACAATTACCGTTAAAATTTACATTTTAAGGCGTCTCAAAATATATACATGTTTTATATTTGGCATTATTCATGCCAAATGACAAATGCCTCGTCAGACATCACTAACATCTTTTTTATCGTACACTGGCAAATTTGATTCTCCACATATCTCTACAAAACAACTCTACTCGGAATTAAATTTAAGAACTGAAACTTACATCCCATATGGTCTCTGTCACTGGCGCAACACAATCACCCTGCTCATGTTAACTTGTGCTAGACTTCGTTAGACTAAAACGTACGTGCGTCTGCGTGTATTTCTTTTCCTAGAAATGTACTTGTAAAATGAACAAGTTAATCACACATAACAGAAATTAAAATCCGGAAATTTTTAGATCAGTGCAATGAATTTATAATTCCAGAAAATATTAAAAGATTGGAAGAAAGTTTGATGTTGAAAAAAACAGTAACTTTATAAAGTCTGGGAAACTTCACTGACAACTCCTCTCGGAGTATGTATGTCATGAAAATGAATTATATACACGCGGTGGAGTGTATCTCAGCGACCCTCTTTTAAATTTTGGTCAAATGACTAAACATCAGAGTGGGTAAGGGTTTCTTCGTTGAGACGTTAATATTAATTCGTATGTGTCTTTGTGGTGTTAAACAAGCTTACAAGTTACGTTTTTCTACTATGCTAACAATAACGGACATTTTCTTTTCTGGATTTAACGTTTATAACAACATCAATAATGTTGATTATGATAATTGTAAGCACTTCCAGGCCCACTAGGGAATGCTGGGAATAAAATAGATCGAGCGGCAGTTTGAAGTTTACAACGTCTTGTGTTGCTTCAACTTTTCAGAGGTCAATCTCAATTTACCTTTCCACCCCTAGACCTAGTGGAACACTTAATGATTATTTATTTACGGTTTTATTCAGAAATTTTAGCACAGGACCGAAGGAGGAGTGGGAAAAGTCTGGTCATCACAAGAACTCATCCATCACCATTCAATCCTGTATATACCACAATACCACAAATTCACAAGGGAATCTAATAAAATCTAATAAACGTTCATAAAGCCTCTTTTTGTTTCTTTTTATCTCTTTTTTTAACAAAAATATATATAAATTTTCATGAATTATGAAAATGACAGGGGAGGTGATGAACCCCAAAAGCAAGACTAAAGAATGCAACAAAAACAAACTAAAACAGAACAGATGGTAGTAGGATCTGCTCACCCCTCACAATAAGAGTGGCCGCTGTATTCTGCCGACAGTGTATTTATCTTGTATAATACAAAATTTTGGCACAAGACCGAAGGGGAAATGGGGAGAGGTTGGTCTTCATTATCTATCCTAGTTCTAGTTAATAAGACACACGACCCACTCATTCATTACAATTTATTCATTCACCACAAGAATTCATCCACCACCTTTCAGTCCTCACAATACCGCATAGTAACAGGGGACCTTTTAAAACAACCCATGACATAAAAATTTGATGAAGACCCAAAATGTGGGGGTTTTTTTTGTTTTTGTTTTTTTTTTGTTTTTGTTTTTTTTACAAAAATACATAAAAATTTCAAGAATCATGAAATGGGAAGGGAATGAACCTAGAAAACAAACTAAAAAAGTACTAAAAAGATAAAACTGAAACAAGACAAATGTTAGTAGGACCCACCCACTCCTCAAAATAATAAGAGTGGCCGCTGTATTCTACCACTAGACAGAATCAAAGAGGCACACTCACTGGAAAGGATAAAAATAAATGACGGAATGGGAAAATCAAAAGCTGGACCAGCTGAGGTAAAAAGGGGACAAAAACAAACTAGGGAGGCTGGGAATCTTGACATGGAGCATAACAAAAGAGAGTACCAGGAACAGGCAGGAGACAACACTTACATTAACTAGGAAAACAAATAGCAATGGAATACTTAATGAATGTAGAAATTCTCCACATGCTTGATTCCGGGCGCTTTCGGCTAATCTATTAGCATTTTTCAAGGATTTTAGTTAACTACAATAAGTGGCCTGTAAGTGCTATTGTAGACTTTGCTTTTCAGCAACTTTCAAAATTAATTCCTGAATACGGTCATGTTTAATGGGGCTATGTTCAAACGCAGAATCGGTATGAAAGGATTTTCATTTTCAATCCTATATTATTTATTATTTTAATAACAAAACGCTATATTCACTGGCTATATATAATTGAGGAGACATACGCTTTTTTACGTTACGACTGAATATTACCTTTTCTTTTATTCCTGTTCATTTTTAAACCTACGTTAAGATTTTTCCCTATTTAGATCATAGAGTATAATTCATCTGCTTCTGATATTAGTAAAATGTCAGCAAATCATAAATAAATTCTCAGTTTTATTTTTTGGGGAGGTGGGGGGGTCATAGTTTCCTTCCGAATTCATTTTCAAGTTAATTTCTAGGCTTGTTATAGCTGATGTTAAAACATTACACCCGGCCAAACTCTTTTTCATTGTATATAACATCTGTTGTTTCGTCATAAAAACACCCAGGATTTCTGTAAAGTTTCAAATCTTGTTATCAGGTTGCAAACCGAAAGTTCACGTGCTGGAATGAGTTGATATTAATTTAATGCTAATTGGTACTAATGTTAATAGAAAACGATTAACATGAGCGCTACAAAATAAAGAAGTGACAAATATTCACCCAGGGAAATTCGTCATTTGGACTATATCTCCCATTTTTCGACGGACATTCGTCACGTTTCCGGAAACGACAACATAGTTGCCGATGCACTTTTGCGTGTAACAAATATACACATCGACGAACACATGAATTATGATTATATTGCACAGGAACAAATGAAGGCCGCTTTATTTAATGAAACAAATCTCTGACCATACTTCAGTAACCTTAAAAGAATATCCTATTCCATTTAGTGACAAGAAAATATACTGTGACAATTCCAAAAATTATCCTCGTCCTTATGTGCTGCCTTCATGCAGAAAAAGAATCTTCAGATATTTTCACAAAATCTTGCATCTTAGCAAACGAGATTCACAAAAACTAATTTCTGACAAATTCTTCTGGCCTTCAATAAAAACCGTTATTTGTACTTGGACTCAACATTGTATTTCCCGTCAGAAAACTAAAGTCCACAGGCATACAAAAAGCAATGACGGTGTATTTTCAACACCCGATGGCTGTTTCTCACATGTGCAGGTTGACATTGTAGGGTCGCTACTTACATCCAATGAGCACTCATATATCTTCACCATGATCGACAGATTCACTCGTTGGCCTTCTGCTCATGCCATCAGGTATTTCTACAGAAAATATAGCAAAGATTTTCATCGAAAGCTGTGTCTTGAACATTGGTATTCCTAATACAATCACAACAGACAGAGGCCAACAATTTCAACCAGTTCTCTTTCAAGACCTTATGCAAACATTAGGAACTATTCACATCAAAACTACAGCATACCATTCTTGCACTAATGGCTTTGTGGAAAGATTCCACCGTCAACTAAAAACTGCACTTGCTACTCAACCTGACCCAACTAAATTGAGTGAATAATTGCCGATAGTTCTTCTTGGACTCCGGTCCACGATTAATGACACCAAAAGCACTGCAGCAGAGATGGTATATGGTACAACATTACGGCTACCTGGTAATTTTTTCACACAAAATAAACAAAATGCCACTTCAGCTTCAAATAATGTGTCTCGCTTAAGACAACACATGGCAACACTTTCCTTTACACTGACGCGTGTACATCCCAACGTGGCATATCTACCTCCGAACATAAATGTTAGTGAGTTTGTTTTTGTGCGTAGGGATACAATTAAGAAATAGCTGCAACCCAATTACGACGAACCATACAAAGTATTAGAACGATCAGATGAATTTTTCATAATCGAAAAAAAAAAAAAAAAAAAACAATAAAAGGGAGTCTGTCAATGAAGACAGAGTCCCTTTTATTGCCAGTTTACATTGAGAAAATCATCTGATCAGCCTACGGAAAATGAACCCGACGTACACGAAGATAAAGACAAGAACGTTTCGTCAACGTGCGAAAAATATAATCCAATCAGACAAACTAAATCTGGTAGACATATTCACCGGCCTATCAAGATCAGAAATTATGTATCACAATGCACATATACAGACACACATACATAAAAGAAATATTAACAGACTAATCACAAACTCTTCTCTTTCGATATATTCTTTATCGATCTGGAAAGGGGAGTATTTATAGGAAATGATGCAATTTTCCGTCAAGGAGTGTTCTAGAAAAATTGGATTAACTTTGGCGCAATTCTTAATATAAAAAAAAACGCCTATGCTCGTTTTCTAAAAAATAAAACACTCGACCACATATTTTGACCAATCGTTTTCCGACACAGCTTAAGTGCGCAGTAATTTAGACGAGTATGATCAGTCAAGAGCAGTAAAAAGGCCGTTAATTAAGCTTCCGCGCGCAAAATGTTCTGCAGTGAATGTAGTTAAACAAGGCCAGTAATGGCCGACGGCTGAACGCAACTGAGTCCGAACCATTATTGTCGATAACTCCAAAACGGTTGGTTTTATCAAAATTTAATTGTTATTTCGAGTTCAGCATATACATTTACAGGAAAATATGACGATTTGGGAAAATTTTAATAGATATTTAGCGCGGGGATGAAAAAGCATATTTACCATTTTCCTTAATTTCGTTGAAAAATTGCAATAAAATATAATTATTATTAAAACATGAAAAAATGAAAATAAATACAAATAAAACAAATTAAATGAAAAATAAAAAATTCTAACATGATAAAACAACGGAATGTTGCCGTGCATAATTGTCTTTGAGGTAGAATTTTAATCAAAGAGTCCTTCTTTATCAACAAATATTCAAATTGTTGTGCACCAAAAATGTAATTTTTATTAATTAACGGCTTCAGATTCAATTGATGCATAATTGATTCACAATATTGAAAAACAATTTTAAAAAATTCTGAATCAACAACAAATAAATTCAATCTCTAAGTATTTGGAGTTTTAAAAAAAAGACTAAAATTTTATAATACTAAAACTGAATCCTTGAAACAAAAATAGTCAAATTAAATATTAAAATTATACTAAATAAATGAAAATGACCAAGTTGAAGTATCAATATTGTTCAAATTTGTCAAGATTTAAAAACTTTCCAAATTGAAAAATCTTCAAATCTCTTCTCCAAATTTCCGTTTTAATCCAACATTGTAAGCTGCTTAGTATTATCCAGGGTAAAACTTTCAATAAATAAATCTTTATAAAATATGACCATTGACCATCTATTAGCTAACATGCATCAATTTATAACTTTCGACAATCCGTTCCAGAAGAGAAACATCCCATTGGTACAAACATCGCTAGGATGTTAAACGGATTTGGTAAATCACCTTGATAATTCACATAAATTTGAACGCTTCAAGAAGATCAGTTCGAGAATTGTAAGTATTTAGTTTTAATAGCTGCAAAACTCAGAATCATGGCTTATAACATCAGACGCGCTGCTTTGTAAACATTAGACACAGTTTGCCAATTCAGGCGTTTATTGAAAGTGATCTACTGAAAAAAATCCTGGAAAGTTGAGATGAATTATACGGCCCCACATATCACATGTCAAGCTGAATTCAAACAAACTGATGTAATGTAGACAAAAAATGTGAATGGCCGCTTAGGAAATTGCTAATCTAAAAGTGAGACTTTTAAAACTTTAAAAATTGAATTCCTATTACGTAAATTTACAACGTACAATTACGTAGAATTTATCAGATGTTATTTGAATTCCCAAGACATGTTTTCAGCACTAAAACGCATATTTACATCTATATTTTTTTTTATTAATCAACGTATTATAAACGGCTGTGAGTTACCTCGCTTTTATGATAATTACGTATACGGCCCGTTTTGCAAATGAACGCTATTAGGTAAATTTTCTACCTCACAGTCCATTGCATTTAAAGGTTAAATTATAAAATTTGTTGGGATATTTTGTTTAACAAAAATGGTTAACAAATATGTTGCATTTGGCTGTTCTAGTAGAAATGTTACTAACAACGCAAAAGTATCGACATTTTCTTTTCCTCTGGGACCTCGTAGAAAAATAGATAAAATTCGTTAATCGTATTGGTTGGTTTCCTACGAAAAATTCAGTTCTCTGTATGAAACATTTTAAAGAGAAATTAATTTTGAAAGGAAAACGAAAGAAACTGAATTGGATTTACATCCAATACATTCAGAAAAATAAGAAAACCCCCTCTTTTGCCGAGAGCCTCCAAAACAAGGACTGGTGAATTACATTGATACGATAAAAGATTTTACCCAATTGGAAAAGCAAAGTGCTGTCCCAACACTGAATTTAAAAAAAAAGAAGGTTATATTCTGATTTATAGAATAGTATTTGACCCTGAAATACATTTTCCATTTATAAAAGAATGTATTCGTATTGACCAAAACCATCACGTCCAGCTCCAGTCCTATACTGTTACCACAGTGGTTTATACATGGACATAATTCTAAACTCACAGGATTCAGCATGTTAAAACTTCCAAACTACATACAAAACGGGGTGGAAGAACAACCATACTCAATTCTAAGAGAATTACAAAAAGACATTACCAACCAAGAGGTCATCCTTCATTTTCTACAGAACTAATACGTTATGCCTTACTACTGAACTATATGTTTCAACAAGCCTACAAATTACTTCTAGAGAAATTTCCATCGCCATTTTTTCATTATTAGAAAAAAAAAACATAAATAAATAATTAAACGTTTTCAATGTGAAATGTGTTCCTTGGTTGTGGTAGGCAATGATAGTGATGATGCTAGAGAAAAGCAGTGCTTTTGACTTACTTTCTCAAGGAGGTCTTACGGTTTCATCTAGCCAAATGGCTTGTTTTTCTATACTTGACTATGCAGATAAATCTATTGTAAACATAATGAAACCACTAAAAGAGTCTGTTGAAAGAATTTTGGAAACTTATTTTCCAAAATATGTTTTTAATTGTGAACAACACACGAAAAAAGAATTCACTTTAAAGTAAAGATTTCTGTGAATATATTTTACAACAAACGAAAGTTTTCATCGGATGAAGTTCAAAAAAATTATAGAATGTTTTAAAAAAGGGCAAAGGTCAAAAGAAAACTGATTTATAGAAAAACTGTTAGTAAGTTTTTTACTTGTATTTGTTTTGTATTACTTCTTAATTCTTTAATAACCTTTTCGTTTGTTTACAATCTTTTATTATTACTTTTCTGTTTAAAAAAATGAACAATCTGTATTTTTGGATGGTTTTAACATATTTAGATAAAACAGACATAAATTGAGTATAAACCAAATAAGCCTGTTAGAAATTAGCCTGAAATATGACGTGTGGGGCTGTATATATTAGTGGGCCGTGTCCTACTCTGATTTCTATACCATTTCACTTACAAAATGGAATAGTATCAATCAAAATGGAATGAAAACAATTATAAAAAATTTAACTGGATCGACAATATATTTTTGTGTAAGGTGGCGGCTTTAGTGTGTGTGAAAGTAGCCAGACTAGGGTGGCTTTTCTGAGTCGGTGACTGTACGAAATTCACTTCGTCACCCACCGTCGGTTAAGCTTGTTGCTTTTGCCGAAGTTAATGATTTTTTTTCAATCACTTGCGAGATTCCTTCTTTTATTTTTATCTTCCAGAGATTTCTTTTTATTATTTTCCTCGCAACACTTTTTCTTTGTATCTCTTCCTAGTTAGTGAGTTTTTCACTTGTTTCGAGTACGAAATCACCACCTCCAAAAAACAATGGCAACTTTCTTTCCCTATGTATGATTAGGGCGATTCCCATACTAGCCCAGCATCCCCCAACCCAACTCCTTTTTGCTTATTTTTTTCCAACTTTAGGTACTTTTGTACCTTCCCGACAATGCAATCTGAATATTTTAAAATTTTTTTTATTTATATAGTCTTGATTTACAGGGTGGTCTGAAAGTCTTGTCACCCTTTACCAAAAAAAGTAATAAGATTAAGAACAAATGAAAACCAAGTAATACAGTAATACAATTCACATGTAATGGATTCAGTTTCATTGACGCTGTCACACATCGAGAAAGTCTTTATGAACACCATCATTTTTGTGGCACAAAATGATACGGCGCCATGTCCTGTGTGATATTTTACAAAGCTGTGCTTTTTGTTGATTGTTGCAAAGGCTCTCCGAATGGTGCCCTTCAACTGATGAGTATTCTGGTATCGTTCATGTGAAACTCTCTCTTTGATAATAACCCCCACAGGGCGTTGAAATAGAAATTATTGTAGAGTGTGAAAAGAGTTTCGAACCACCCTGTTGTTCAATTTTTACAAAATTGTTTTATTCTGGCCAAGTTTTGGGGCCAAATATTATTCTTTACCTGCCAGTATACAGATAATGTTTTTTTTACGTCTTTCAATATGTTATATACAATACATTCAAGTGGTGACTTAGTCAATGAAATGCAGATTCAAGCGAAAATTATGGTAAGATGCATGGTGCAGTCGACAATCATCTAATAAATAATTAGTCCTGTCTACTGCCAGACCTTGTTTAAAGAATCCTTCATAAAATCGATCATATAATTTAATTATAACTAATTATAATTACTTATATTTGGCCTCATTAAACCATAAATTTCATCTGGTTTCACTCATTGCTTTCAAGGCTTGCTGTTTTCGACTAAGCTTCTTGAAAAAGTTTGACTTGATGAAAACAATAAGCTAGATAACATTATGTTGCCCAATATGAGACTAATTCAGCAACCAGATTTGAAATATGTGCGAGGCACAACTTGTTGAACTGTTATTAAACATATTCAACAACTACCTATGAGCCTTATACAGATTTAACACGTTCATGGAATAGGTTACTGAATCTGATACAAATTTAATAATATTCTCACATGCAATATCAACATAAGTTACGGCCCGAATACATGTTTAACTTGCAGTTTGATAATTGTTTTCTATGGTTCAGTAAAAAATGACTCCCCATAAATGCTTGCAATCCTATTTTAAATGTTGTGTTCACAACAGTCGATTGTTTTTGTTTGCTATGGTATTGATAAGTTCATTGGCAAACTTGGTTTTAAGGCCAAAGTAACATGTAAAGCATATGGTAAGATGAAATTGCCTAACTAACACAATAGCACTACTTTAGTTTACTTGCAGTTCTTTAAATTACTTTTTAGTTTTGTCAATTTTGTGTACGTTGGGGGTGCAGATATACTTTCAAAATATTAAGAACATTATCCCACATCAATTCAAGTAATAATTGTCCTCTATTTTAATGTTTGTAGATTATTGTTGTTGATATCGTTATTTTAACCCTTTTCTTAGATGTTTTTGTCTTTATTTTTATTTTGATGGACCATACGTCAATACAATTTGGATGACAACTCGTGACTCCTCTTCTTATTAACTATCGCTCATATCGCCACGCGGAATCGGCCTAAACAAGAAACTCGTTAAAAAAAATCTGGTAATTTGATTAGATGGTAAGTGTGACGGCGTATCTAGCGTTTGTGTCGGCTGGGGCGTTCGTAGAGTTTGCTGCCCTTCTAAACATTAAAAAGATGATAGTCTTTAAATAAAAGTTAATTATTTTCTGGTCTCCCTCTCTGCAAAATCTGGAATCACATCAAAAGTCAAAACCTATGTCTTCGGCAAGGTCACGCTCACTGGAAAAGCATTGCTAGATCAGTTTTTTTTTGTTTTTTTTAGCCCATGTGACTCATTGCTGCCCTGAGGTAGTTCTGCTTGCTTAACTTCAGTTTTAGAGAGCCTCGCAGTTCGCAACACTAATGAATGACATGAGTCAGAAACAAAAAAGTTAAAACTAAAAGTACGACTATATTTGGTAATGAATCATTTTTTAAGAGATACTAATTTTGCTTGCTACTTCATTATTGATACACCCAAAATAAAAATGTCGCCTCAAAATATTTGCCACCGGGGGTAGACCGTCCCTCCTGCCTTAAGGGGAAAGGGCTTCTGAAAACTTTTAAGAACTCCTGTATTTATTTTTTTTTTCAATTTTAATTTTTAGTTTTTTCAGTCTTTATTCGTATTGGTGCGAACAACGGGTAAAAAGAAAACTGTATGTGTCAATGAAATACGTACCATAACAAAAGTTGTATATATTTTCTTTAAAAAATATATCAATTTCAGTTAAAAAAAAAAAAAAAGGAAAACTTGTTTTAGAGATGCAATTTTTTATTGTTACTTTTATTGGGTAGTAACCGATAGTTAATAGAACAACTGACGCTCAGGTCAATAAATGAAATGTTGCCACTCCTATTTTTCAGTAACTATAATCCTGCGTTCAGGTGTATTTTTCTCTAATAATTTTGTTTCTTTACTCCTGTTTCATGTAAGTGTTTGAGTTTGCTAAGATCGTCAGACACTCATAGCCAGAACTGATTGGTCAGTTTATTTTACTCTTAGCCAATCATATGATGGGTTTCTCACGTTTACAGGTTTCATTAGTTGCCGTCGTCAATCCTCTTATTGTTTTTCTTACTCGTCGTACATGATTATTTTTAATCGTTTTTTAACCTGTCATGAGCACACATACAATTACATAAAAAATAACTCGCAACTGTCAACCATTTGATACTCATTTTCTTTTTTAGTCTAACTCTGTCGTTTATAACTTGACTGGATTTCTATTTTGTTTTTCTTTTTTTAGTTGTGACTTAAAAAAAACTTATCTACAGAAATGAAAAGCGTTCATTTCAAACCAGTGTTGTGACTTAAATATTGTATTTTTTTAATTTCTTCATACTCATTTTTTTAATTAAAAGAAATTCTCCCACGGACATTGTATTCTTAAATTTTGTCGCAATCAACTAAAATGTGCGGTAGTATCATCATCAGCAGCAGCATAATTGATAACATTTACTGAAGTAGTAGTAGTAGTAAATAATTATAGCGATTAGTAGTCATAGTGGTAGCAGTGACGTTCTACATGCACATTGCATACATCGGCGCTGAGCGGCTGCTACAGTAACACATTCACATTCCTGACTCTGGCTTGTTTCTTATAACAATATTATCATCATTTTAAGCAACTTGGAATAATATTTTGATCTTTCATTAATTCACACAGACATTAATTTATTTACTATTTGCCCACCAACAGGATTGTTGGCAACGTTTTCTTGGGGAAAAAATCAGGTAGGTGTTTTAAAAAAATCCGAGAAGCAAATACTGCGTGTTGTGAATGATGGTGTTAGTTTTTTTTTTATGTTAAATTTTCATACGACTTCATTTAAAAAAAAATTTTTTTGTACTGTTGTGAGTTAAAAGAAAACAATTATTTCTAACATTGCTTTTTAAATGCCAAACACAACCAGGAACCTTTGAGTGCCAGTTTGTGTGAAATTTCATTTTGGAATTGAAATTGTCTCTCCTAGTGTTCGTTTCCGGGCCGGCTTGTTGAGAAAAATTACCACTTAAGTTAAACAGGCATCTTTTTTTTTTTTTTTTTTTATTTTAATTTTTTTTTTTTTCTTAAATAATTATCATAACAATAATAATGGTCGTTTCTGTTTAGTTCTAATTTTGTTAGTTTTCAATTCTCTTGAGATTTCTTAAACTTTAATTTTTCAGTGGAAAAAAAATAAACCGGTTTTCTTTTCATTAAAACAAAACAAAAAAAACCCTAATTTTTGGAAAACCTAAATGATGCTTTTTTTCCCCCCTTTTTACTTCGTCAATAATGCACATTTTTACAAACCACTCGGCTTTAAAACTAAAAGAATGCTTTTAACTGAACAACCGGCAAAAAAAAACATTAATAAAATGTACGCATGTTCTGTTTAGTTTTTTTTTAGTTTGGCGGTTAAGGAAAAGGGATAAAATTATTTTATCTTTATTTAGCTGTTATTAGCTGCTGAAATAATTAAAAAAAATGTTTTGAAAAGTAAATGGTGACATTTTTATCCCAGCTTCTAATTCAAATATTGGAAAGCCAAACTTCCTAAATCCATGCCTTAGTGCTTCAACAACGAGTATAATTACTCAAAGAAGCACTTTTTCAAGGTTATTGCAGATTTCACCACAAGTAAGTACTATTGCCTATATTTTATTTATTTTTCGGATAAAGTTTTTGTTTCTTAGTAGTTTTATGAAAACTGTAAAAAAAAAAAAAATAAATAAATAAATAAATTGTCATAATCTTTATTTTTCTACTTTCTAGATAATGAAAGCCCCTCCAAATTTTAATTCTTCATTCATTAATTTAAAGAAAATTTCGACCATTGTTCATTCATTGCAGGTTGCAAGATTTCATAATTAACTGTCCTGTTTGTCATCTAAAGAAAAAGGCGTGGTTGAGTAAGAAAACCGAGAATACTTGCAATGCAACAGTTTTGGTGCAAAAAGGGTCAAGAACAGATGCTAGATTAGCAGCATATTTCAGCAAACGTTATTTTTAGAGTCGATAAAGAAAAAATGAATTAATTAAAAATAAAAATCATTTAAAACCCATTCTTTAAATTGTATGCGTGTTTGACGCTGACAGACACTGTGACACTTTCAAAGTTATTTTTTTGTGAAAAACATAAGACAAAAACAAAGATCTCCTTTTGTGACATGCTATGTAGAGAAACCTGATATTTTAAGAAAGAGCTCAAAATCTGTGGTAGTCACGTTGCAACTTTATCGTAAGAAATACAGTAGACAAGATGGGAGAATAGTTCATCTGTACAATTTTAAGAGATGAAATAAATTCGTCTATGCGTTCATGATTCTAGCGAACGGAAATGTTATTTTCAATATGAAACTTGGTAAAAAAAAGAAATTAATGATTCTCATTATGGGATTCTTTCTACTAAGTTTCATGTTAAGACTGGTCAGAAATAACAACAATCCGAAAGTACAAGTACTCGTCTTATTTCCGCATTAGTCATCCGTAGGGATAAACCACCGTTTTAGAATTTGATGAAAATGAAAGAAAACCCAAAGAAAAAAAACAATCGAGAAAGTTAACTTTTATTAATATTCGTGTCCTCTATAGAATTAAAACTTGTTTAGTGCATTTTTTTAGTCTTCTTAAATTTGCATTTTAATACATATTTAAATGGCTAGCATTTTGTTTTTGTATGGAAGAATAAAAGGATAAAAAAAAAACACTATTTTTTTTTTCTGTTTACATTTTTAAGTGTACCGCTCTCGAACACAAGCATACACGCATAGTTGGTGGTGCACAAACATCATATGAATGGATTGCATGCATATACATACACTCTTGATATTGGGAAAAGAGATTGAATGACTATATAGTTACTTTTTTCACATTAAAGTCGAAAGCGTATATAATATTTTCTTTTTATACCCATTGTCTAGAAAATAGAAATAAATGCGTACGCACGTCTATCCATACACACATTGCATCATCAATGTCTGTTACCACTCAGCATATAAAAAAAATAATCGTATGTACTGTAAAGCTTTCTTACCTTACTTACACTGTAAATACCGAGCTTTTTTTTTTTTTTTTTTTTTTTTAAATTAATGAAACTTATTTGTTTAAAAAAACAGTTGTTTGATAACTTGAAACTCAAAAGGTTTGTTCATTTTTGTTTTATATTGTAATAGTGTCAATGTTGAGTAAAAACTTTATTTTTCTTATTTTAGGAAAAAATTCTTATACCTGTTGAAATTTTGGAGAAAAAAAAAAACAAAAAAAACTACCATTTCTAAATAAAATCTTTATTTGAAATGCTATATTGCTAAACCGGAATTAAATTTAATTCCACTAAAAAGTAAAACTTATGATCAACCAAATCACTTTTTGTTCCCAAAAAGTGGTGAGTGGTGGGGAGCGATTATGACAAGAGAAGGTTGTAACATTGTTGTGCTACAGTTTGTATGTCATTGTCGGTGAAATGATCATTTTTAACCTGAATCATTTTACTTTTTTACGCATCATATTGATGCTATTTTCTCAACTTGATGATCTGGTATATTTGCGTCGGTTACAACTTTAGTGAACAATAAGTAAATTTTTCTACGATCTTATTTTTAAATCTTCATTTTTTTTTTTTTAGTCCGATATGCATCTGTTACCTAACCTCACTATTACTGCGTTGCAGCGTTACTTTCTTTACTCCTAGCAATACAAGCTAGTTGTTTATTTTTTATGTTTCTGGCCTATTCTTTACTTTATCTGATCCCCATACTTCAAAGAGGACGTAGGATTGAGAATTCTTAAAATCAAAAGGCCTGATCTTAGTCCTTACCTTAACAAAATGGTGTTGCGCCCATGGTTCAATTTACAGTAGGGTACCGCTCACATTGCCTCCAGGTTCTTTATCTGTCACTAATTTGCTACTGTTAGCATCTTTTAGTTTTGATTAATTAACGACGAGGGATATTTTTATGGCAAGAGTGAAGAAAACTGTCGGATTTGAAATTTGTCCCTACTATTTTAAGTCAACTATAAATAAGTTTCAATTATTTACTAAGTTTTGCTTTTTAAGTCTCTCACTCTTCGTATGGTTACATTGGGTAATAAGTTAATCAAATCTTACTCAATTAACCACCACCCAATGTACAGAGTGGTCCGAAAATCTTGTCATGCCGACAAAAAAAAGGAAGAAAAGCGTATTGAGAACAATAGAAGACTAAGTAATACAATGCACATGTACTGGATTCAGTTTATTCACTTTCATTGACGCTGTCACACGTCTAGAAGGTCTGTACTATGAACAGTTAAAAACACCATTTTCGTGAAAAAATGATGCGGCGCCATGTCCTGTGTAATATTTTACGAAGTTGTGCTTTGTGGATTGTTGCAAAGGCTCTCCGAGCGGCGTCCTTCAACTACTATTTCTGGTATCATTCACGTAAAACTCTCTCCTTGATAATAACCCCCACAGGGCATTGAAATAGAAAATTATAGGGGTGACAATACATTCGGACCACCCTATAAATCATTTTTATTTTAACTGTCAGTATTTCAAGTAATTGTGTGGTCTGCCAACTTTAAAAATCAGCGTTCAAAATAATGACCTAGTAGTTTCAAGTATCAGCCAATAACTACTATAAAATTTTAAAATAAATGCAGAATTACTGCGACCACCAAAAAACACTCTAGAAAATAATGATCTTTTTTTTTTTTTTACTACTGCAAAAAAAATCACTTAAACTTTGCTATTTTAAGTTAAAAATGAATAATTTCTTCTAGTTTTTGCCTCTGAGAAAGAAAACGCTTTTTTTTTTTTTTTTTTTTTTCCCTCCTCCCCAAGAGTGAGCCAAAAAAAAACTCGTTGTAGCTGCAATTCAAAAGCTTTTGGAAACCATCACCCTTTGGGCCTTTTAATAAAAAAAAAAAAAAAAAAATTAAAAAATTTTTTTCAAGTAATAAATTTATTCATTTTTTTTTTTTTTTTAGTAACGTTTGATAAAAATAAAATCACTGAGATGTTTTTTATTGTATTGCATTTTTTTTTCCAGGCTGGTAATATGCCACTATTGCCTTTTTAGTTGAAATAATACAAAACTTGCACACAGTTTATTTAATTTTATTATGCTGCTTGTCCTCTAACCCATCCTTTCTTTTATTACATTTTCTTTTCTTTCGGAAGAGGTTTCTATTGCTCTCTCGAAAACTTAACTGATGTTGGTTCAGTGGTTAATTTAGCTTTCTCGTGTGATAAATACCCATGATTATCAACATTCAACTGGGCAATCCGCAAGTTAATTCTGCCATCGTCCCGTTTTAGGAACATTGGAATAAGGTCTTACTTAAACGAAACGTTTCTATCTGTTAAAAATGAATTTAGTAATAAACAAATTAAATAAATGTGTGTGTGCGCGTGCATATACGCACACACAAACTGAAACGATTCCGGAAAGAGGATTGTTGACACCAAGCCATGTAGAAACCATGTGAATTTGGATACATTTTGGTCGCTAGGAAATAGTTTGACATGCAGCAAAAATTGGAAATTTTAAAGTTCATTAATAAAATTTGGAACTTTAAACTGTCAGGCAAAGACAAACTCTGCTTTTTGCGTTTAAGTTATGAATTCTCGTCCTTTCAGATCGTCCGTCAAGATTTTTAAGTTGTTTTTTTAAAAACCCATTTTAATTGCACCTACTGCATAAACAAAACTGTTAGTGTTTCAGTTACAAAAATTTATTCAGTGTTAATAATTAACAGTTTGTTA